CCTCTCAGGTCCCAGGGACACTTCAGAACAGGTGTGGCAACAACCCTTACTATTGTGAACACTAAAGTTTGAAACCCATCAATCTGACCCTCCAGGGAATTTTTGATCAAATTAATAATGTGAAAGTATATAAATAAGTGCTTATTTAAATATTTAAATGTTCTGGGGTTCTTTCCAGGTTTCTCCATCTTTAAACTCTTTCATCTCACTTAGACTCAGGGTGCGCAGTGCTTCATTCACACGTGTAGTTTCCAACTGCTGCTACTGCCGGCGACCATGCGAGGCCGTGGGCACTTCCGGAAGGCTCGCCCTCGTGGGGGTTCGGCCTGACACAAAACACGATTCCCATGCAGCTCTCATTTTAATACCCGAATATTCCTTTAATCTTCTGTCATTAGCTAACCACACCTCACCCCTACTTCCGGTGGCACACTTCCTTTGTTGACGTGAAGAATGCTTGCTCCAACGTCAGTCCTCCTCCTGCACGTCGTGACTATGAGTGGATACTGCCCCCACGCTTCAGTGCGAGATCGCTGTGTGCGTGACCTCGGTGACCGGTGAGCAGAGGCAGAGGCAGCCCCAGAGGCGCGCGGGAGCACCCGCGCCCGCCAGCTGCCGCAGGGGGTCTGCTCAGCGCCACGCTCCGGAGCACGGCGGCGGAGGCCACCGTTACCGCGGCCTGTCCTTCCCCACGTTGACTACGGTCTGAAAGCAAGGCCCGCTGGTTCTAGGCCGCGAATCTTCAGAATGAACTGAGTTTCAGGCTCAGCGTGTTGACACCGACTCGGCCACACTCGGGGCCGTTTCTAGCAACAGCGCTGTGTCTCCGCTGGAGCGAGCCAGGCGTCCTCCCTGCAGGGACAGCCCGCACCGCGAAGTGGCGGCGGAGTCAGCACGCGCCAGCTGTGGGCAGCGAGGACGGTTCTAGGGCCCAGCCCCCAGCGCAGCCCGCAGCCTCACCTGAGGACGAAGCACTGCGGTCTCCGCTCCTGGAAGAGCTGGTGGAAGGCGCGCTCGGCGCAGGCGAAGATGTGAGGCGGCAGGGAGGCGCCGGGCGGCCCCGCGCCGCGCAGGAACAGCTGGGACACCTGGAAGACAGCGCCGCCCGCAGGCCGCAGTGCCCGTGAGAGGGGTTCGCCCCCCCCACCACGCAGCCCCCCGCCTCCACACACACAAGCACATCCATCTCCAGTCCTGAGCCCCATCTGTAACTGCAAACCACAACGATGCTCTATCTGAAGCATTCCTAACGACAGGACGGAGGCGCGCGTTCGAGCCTTCACTCCTTGGTTCCCGGGCTTTGAATGACTTAGCCGTCTTCCAAACGCCCAGCTCACAAAAATCCAGCTCCAAAGATACCCATGAAGGAAGCTGAAATCGTGGCAATTTATATCAAATCTAATTTCTCAGCAACATTTAAATTCAGTCATGTAAGATGGCCAGGATACTCCATCTGCACAGAAAGCAGTTGCAGCTGAAACACATATGAATTTACAAATTTCTTGGGAAAAAACAAAAATGAAGTGAACTGAATTTCAGCGCTCTGGTGATTTATGAGTGCCATGGTGATTCAGTGCTCGTGTTTTTAGTCCTTTTGAATTTTTAGTGAATTCTGTTAATGTTAGATTAAAAACGAAATGATAAGAAGACTTATTGAGTCATGAAGAAATATTAGAAAAACTTAATTTTTATTTTGCAAAACAACTCGCTTGTATCTTTAAAGATGTCAAGGTTAGGAAATTCAAGAAGTTTGAAGAACTGCTCCAGGTTGAAGGAGAGTAAAGACCCAGTGTTCAGTGTACCCGGGGACAGCAGGCATCACTGGGACAATGGGAAAGACCCGAATGACGCTTCTCATTCAATAACAGCACATAAGCAGTGATTTCCCGATTCTGAGGGCTGTATGGAGGTTACGCAGGGAAAGGCCTTTGTTTGTAGGAAATACACAGAACAGGTATTCAAGGCTGATGGGACAACATGCCAGCAAGTCATTTTAAAATGAGGGAAAAATGTTGTTTGTACTACTGATTTGCAAATGTTCTTCCATAAATTTGAGATTATTTCAAATTATAGGAGAAAATAATTTTAAAAAGTAGAATCGATGATCTACAGCAAAAAGAGAGAGTTTGGGTGAAACTCACAAACATCACACTGAGTAGACTCAGAGACACAGGAGAACGCGTTACAAGATCCTATTTACACGGAGCAAAAAATAGAGGAAACCAGTCTGCGCTGTTAGAAGTGAGGCTGGTGATGCTCTGGGCAAAGGGGCAGTGAGTGGACAGGAGCGAGCGTGGGGTCCGGAGGCTGGGGATGCTCTGCCCTCGGGCTCACGGCACAGTGCTGATCTGCACACTGGAGATGAGCGCTTTCCTGTGTGCATTACGGCCCAATAAAACCAACAGGACGCCAGGGTCATCCGACATTGTGGATATGGTGCAGAGACAGAGAGAGGGAACACTGGGACAGACTACAGGGCTCAACTCAGGACCACACACGGCGAGATCTGGGCGACCACCGGGCAGACTGTTACGTGTCAGGGAGGCTGAGGAGAAAACTGGTGATCTGGAAAGGAAACAAACATGCTGTGCGTCTCCTGCCCTGTGCGAAAATAAACTGCAGGTGAATTCAAGTCCCAGGTAGGAACAGCAAAGCTTAACACCCGCAGACAAGTGTACAGGAGAGCATTCTCACGATTGCGGGGTAAGGGAACAGGGTCACAGGCACAAATTATACTGCAAAAGACTGCACAGCGTTACGGCTGAGGGCTCCTGTCCAACCCTCACAAACACCACACGTAAAATTTTTAAAAATCAGGGGAAGGCGAAGAGGAGACTAAGCTGTGCATGCGATCAATAAATTGTCAGCATTTTAGAAAAGACTCTTACAAATCAATACGAAAAACTGGAAATGACGTGGAAAATTGGGCAAAGAATGGAAATGGAAAAGAAAGGCCAATACACAAGAAAAAGGTGACAAAAGTCTCTGGTGACCAGGGAAATGCTGTTTCAAACCTGAAGGCGATACAGCACACATAAACCACTGATAACTTCGTCAATAACAGTGTGTTAATGATGGTAACGGCCTCACTTGCTACGTGCTTGCTGCTCCTCTCAGCATTTTACGCTCACTCATCCATCCAATTCTCCCAGAAACCTAAGACTTGGGCATGAGAACGCGTCTCCTGTTTACAGAGAAGGAAACTGATGCGAAGAAACCCTCCAAGGTCACAGGGCTGGTTAGTGGTGGAGTCTAGGTTCAAAATGAAGTTTTCTCCCAGGCTGGAAAACTCATGCATAATACGCAGTGTTCAAAGCCACTGGAAGGGTAATTTGGCAGTTTCTCCTAAACTTAGGGAGGTAGGTTTGACTAGGGACCTCTCTGTAGAAATTCACAAACGTGAGCCGAGAAGCACGCAAAACAATCCTTAGCACTCACTGTCAGAGCAGAAAGCAAGGCAATAATTCTATAATAGGTACTGATGGATAAGCATAGCTGTGTGTTAATACAATAAAATACTACAGGGCATTTAGAATAAGGCACCTAGGCTGGAACCTTTTACTATGGAAAATGTTTGGAAGCACAAGGATTAATGAAATTTTTTTTGTTGTTGTAGAAAAATAGAGCTAATACAGCCCCTGAGTAAATTAAAAGAGAAAACAATGGTTTATACAGTTGTCATTGCATGTGTATGTCATGTGTATACGGTGAGCACACAGAAGATGGGTGGAGGGATAACTTCGGGAAAGTGGTTGTCATTGTTCGTGCAAAGCAACAGGCTGAAGTGGAACCCAGTCTGTGGTGACAGCACGGGGTGTCCTTTAACCTCAGACACCGTGCAACTGAAACACACCTTTATTTCCTGCACCACCAGAAAAT